ATATAATTTTTTAAAGAAAAATTTATTTTATTAATTCTAAATATGTGAATAATCTATTTATATATTTAATATCTTGTAAGATTGCCTTTAGAATTTTTATTTATTCAGCAAGTAGTGAGTATGATGATTTTTTAATATGTTCTATAGGAGTTAATTCATAAATTGCTTCTAATATCCATTGATTATATAGTATATAGACCTATTAAAATTATTTGTAAGTATATATTTATTTTTTTAAAAAAACAAATAAATAATAAATTTATACCTTTGCTTTAAAAATTTTATTAATGCTAATGTTTAATGGTTATAGCTTTGATATTAATCCACTAGGAATTATAGATAAATTTATGTTTTTATTAAGAAATTGAAGTTTAATTAAGTCAACTAAATGTGTACGAAATGAATCTAAAACTAAAAGGAAATATGAATTTTTAAAAAGCCAAACATTTTCAATCTATCAAAGTATTTCTGTTTTATTAATCCAATCTTTCTCATTGATATGAATAAATATATTATTTGGAAAGTTTTTTCGAGATATATTTTTTAATTTAAAAATACAAACTGGAGATAATTTGATTTTATTGGCCATATATTCAAGAATAATTGTAAAATTTTTTTTCTTATTTTCTATAATACAGATACCAATTGTACAAGTTCCATGTTTCTCAATTGTTGTTGGATTTGGTAAATCAAAGGTAAGAGAAGTTTCATTCATATCATCAATTAAATATAAAAAATAATTATATTTAATATGTTAATCTAAAATATAATTTAAAAAACTTATTTTTTTTCTTTTGGATTTTTGGATAAATGTTAAGCTATAGTTGTTTGTTAGTGAATTAATAAATTATAGTGGTTTAAAAACCATTAAGCCAATTATTAGAAAATTTAAATAATTGAATATCTTGAAGATTTTGTAAGTTTGTGTTTTGAATAAGTGAAAATGTCTTGGTAATTATAAGTGTTTTAGTAATAGAATTTTGTAACTTTCATTATTTAATAATCCAATTAAATAGAAGCAAATATTTGGGTGGTTTTTTATTATGTAATTTAAAAGATTTTGGAGAAGCTTTAATTAATTTGTCTTTTTTTTTTATCCATTCCCATAGTTGTTTAGGTTGGATATAAATCTTTTACTTGTTTCTTTAATACTGATTTTGTTTTGTTCATAATAAGCAATAATTATTAATTTTTCTTGAGTATTCCAGTTTCTTTGTAATTTTTTTGTTATATGTACAGTACTTTTAAAACACTTTTGTTACTAACTATAACCATCTTAGTTAACAAATTTACTTTGAAAAATATTTAAGTATTTATATTTATTTTCTTTAATAATAATAAATATATAACAAAAGAAATAAAAAATATTTGATATGCTATTTTTTTATTAATAAATTAGTTAATATTTATTACTTTGCTACTCCTTCTTTTATTCCTATCTTTCATTTATTTCATTTACATATTTATATTTTTTCCATTTATTCTTATCTTTACATCTCTTTTGTTTCATTATCTATTTATTTGCTTTTGTTTCTTGTCTATATACATGTATTTCTATTTATTTATTTATTCCATTTATCTATTTATTTTTTCTCATTTTTATTCGTCTCTTAAAGTATTTTTATTAATACAGTAACAGTAATTGTTAATGATAATTAATAAAACTATAAATAAAATTATGTACCATTAAAATATCCATGCATATCCGAAAATTATTCTACAAGGGGGGGTACTATAAACCGCGATTTACGGTAATTTTGTAGCCCGCGAATGGTGAAAAAAGGAAAATCTGCGGAAACAACAAAAAATCTGCATCTTCGCCAATTCAAACTTTTTTGGTTACGTTATCTTTTTAAGAAATTTTTTTAATGCACGTAACTTTCTATAATCACGGTGATTAAATCACTGTGTTATTGAAGCGAGACGTAAATATATATATGTACACTGTGTAACCCGTGGCTGGATAATGGGGACTATTAAGAAAAAAAAAAAAGTAAAAGTAAAAAAAAAAATTTTTTTTTTCAATACAATACTCTTACTAATCCAATCCATTTTACTTGTTATAATATCTGGGATAATTGCGTACATGTGTCATCGTTTCCGTATTGAATTGACCACTACGCAGGTTGCGTTCTGATTGAATACAAAAAAGAAGTAAATTTTCTGGCCAAATGCATAGGTCACATTCGGTGTTCTCGATAATTCGTAAAGCACAAATGCCAAAATCAAAAAAAGTCTGACGGCGTAAAATGGACATACCACCTGTCATCATCTGTTATCTTTTTTTTTCTACTTCATTCCTTACAATGAAAATTACATAATGGTTATGACCAGCTTGACCTTTGTTATCGACTTTTCAGCGAGTTAGGATAGAGATTAGGATAATGGAGTTTTCTATTTTTGGAAAAAGCAATTAAACGTTTAACTAAAAATCACATTGGGATCCAATGAAGTAAGTCTAAAACGACTTCATTATCCTTTCCTTCCTTCCTTTCAATCTCTTTCATTTCACAATAGAACTTTACTCATCGTTGATCTCACGGAAAGAAGGGAGGGTACGGGTACCAACAAGGAAATGCGGAATTATTTCTAAGCTTCATGTGTCAGATCACTATATGAAAAAAAAAAGTAAATATATATTCTTTTCTACATGATACGATCTCAACATAATTTATCAATTGCTCAAATTTCATGTTTTGATACATATTATTTAAAAAAACAGGGACCAAAAAACCTTAATTGTCGCCTTCAAATAATAACCACTCAAATATATATAATTTTAAGTTCATTATATTAAAACAACGTTAGTTCCGCGAAACTTTAAGTTAGACTGGAGATTTACAATACGTAATATGATCGGATTAATTAATAAATTGCAGGATCCGAGAAAACAAACCACCCTGTCACTTATTTTTGATAATACAGTAGATCTCTAATTTTTTGCTTATAATCGTAAAACAATATTTATGAGAAAATAAAAAAAATTTTTTTTTGATAATTATTAAGTACAATAGTAGGAAATAACCGATCTATTATTTTTTTTTTTTTTTTTTTTTTTTTTTTGGGCTAAGTGCGATACACGCGAGATTTTTTATTAATATAACCGATCTATTATTATATAATCCTAATATAAAATATATTGTATATTATTACGATAAAAAAATATTTTATATATTTGTATAACTCATGATGTGTTCCAATCACCAACCCACCCTAGCACAAACAACACGACGCTTTTCACTGCTGTTAATTGTATCGAGATTGCTTGGACAAGCTACGAAATAAGATAGTGTCAAATTACAATGAAATTTCCTAATTCCTTTCTTATAGGATATATTTAGATATAAATAAAATACTTAGTATTAAATATTATCAAATAGTGTCATAAGAAGACTTTATACCAATATTATTATTTACTTGTTATAATGGAAAAAAATTTATCGTACACAGAGTTGGAACCATAAGAAATAACATTGTATTTGTAAAATTTAAACAGGTATATTGTGTTCGTGTTTGTGAAATTAGATATTTGTGTTTGTGTTTGCGAAATTTTATATATCGAAGTCCAAATCCTAATTGCGTCATATAGCGCTTATACAGCATATCAAAAAAATCTTAATTGCATAGAAGAATGCTCTGTACATATATAATGCATATATAAAGGAGATTATCGCTAAAAAGTTTTAAATAAAAATGATAATATTGCATTAAATAAATGTGCATAAAAAGGAGTACGGTGTTAATACAAAGAAGAGGATAAATTTTAAAATTCGGAGTATACAAGAAATTTAGTGAGCAAAAGAATTTTCAATAATAGAAAATTTTTTATGCTCTATTAGTTTGGCAAGGTTGGGTGCACTCTGCTTTATAAATTTCATCACATCGTTCTCTACAAAAAAAAAAAAAAGAATAGAAATTATTGAATTATTGAATAGTTGGTTACAAACTTTGGGGTATTTTCCGAAAACATCAATACTTACTTGGTTGTTCAATGCACCATTTATCTATTTCCCGTAAATCGACTAATAATTCCGTAGTTTGCTCTTAAGAATAAATAAATAAATAAAAATATTAATAGCGTGCTCATATAATTTATATCACACGAGTATCAAATTCTGAGTTCATACCATTTGCTATTAAATTTGAAGAAATAGAATCGGGTTCGGATAGAGTTCCTGTAAAAACAATATACTGTACCATTAAGAATTTGAGAAAGACAAAAGAACATTAGCTTCATTGATTTTTTTCTTACTTGTCTTTAACGATCTAGGAATTGATGAATAATGAGGATGCTTTTCACAGCATTTTCCTCCTTCTTTGAATATAGACCCAGTAATTGTCTTTTGCTCTTCTAGTTTTCTCAATACATAATCGATATTTGGTCGTTGATCTGGACTTTTATCCCAGCATTTTTGATAAATCTCTATGTACTCGCATGGTGTATCTTGTATCGGCTTCTCTCTTTCACCATATAACACAGATGCTAGAATATTGCAATTATTCCAGCCTTTAAATGGTGGCGTACCGCTTGATATTTCCCACAGTATTACACCTAAACTGTATACATCGGATTTTTCGGTGAAATTTAAGTAACACTTTTCGTTTAATACTATTGGATCGACAAATGCTAACAATCCATGAATTTCTGAAACTGTCAGACTTTTACGGGACAAGACTTTTGACATTCCGAAATCAGTTATTATCGCTCTAACTTTCCCACTACGTGTTGACAAAACTATGTTTCTTGTATGCTAACCATCATTAATAAAATATAAATTATCATATATACTGTACATGTAAATTTATAATTAATTACGAAGAAATAACTCTTACCAGGTCTCTATGTAAAATATCGTTGGTGTGTAAAAAATTCAAACCATTTGAAATCTGTATGCTAATGTCAATCTTCTCTTCCCATGTAATATTGGCAAATTCGCTTTTTAAATATTCGCGTAAATCGCCTAATTCAGCGTATTCTAGAACTATTACATCGAGTCCTTTGGGAGCTACGTATAAAATGAAATTATATGTTATACTTTAATAGAATATATGTTAAATATTTCCTTATATTAAGTAGGAAACTTACTTTTACTGGTAAATGGGCACCCAAAATTGTATGTGTAAAAAAATAGTTATTGTTATTATCATATCATTCTTAAGCGTACCTTAATCCGTGAAACTTTATAATATTTTCGTGAGAGTTTATAATGTTTACTGCATAATGAACCTTGAGCTAATTAAAAGTTCAAATTTAGATTATTCCATATCACTGTATTAAATGTTTAATAAAAATGTATTATACCTCTCTATTAAGTTCCTGGATTGATTCCTCCTTCACGTATTTTAGGATAACAAATTTTTTGTTATCTCCATTACCCCACATCGCCTTTTTAACTTGACAAGTACCTCCATCCGCAAAATATTCCAATAAATCAAATTCTTCATATTTAATATTCTTTATATGCACGTCTTTTAATAATTTTCTAACTCGTTGATAATTTTCGTCAGACTGACTGGTAATCTTAGTTTAAAGTCAAGAAATTAGAATTTTCTGTAATCTTGATTGAATGCATCTACTCACAAATGTCTTCGAAACTTTTCTTACATGTCCAAATAGATAATTTAAAAATGTAATAACAGAAAGAAGAATAAAAAAACATATAACTTCTAAAAAAAGGGTAGCCGAAGATGCAAGATTGTCAGTATTCCACTAAAAGCTTCCCTTTTAAACTTTAAAATGATTGTTACCTTTGTAAAGAATCCTAGAAATATCTATCATTTTCCTTCTGTATACGTATGTTCTAAAAAGCCAAGTTAATATATGGAGATGTCGAAGAAACCGAATAATTAGTTGGTTTTTTCATTTAATATTTTCCATGCAGCAACATAAGAACCTTGAATAAACGTTCTAACTTTAACATATAATTTTGCAATAATACCTAAGGATGGCCGATTTGGAAAGGAATAGTATACGTTAAGAACGGTCAGTAAATCTGTGAAGGGTATGATGAGAACATACAAAGGTCTGGGCATAAATCTTGTGAAGATATATAGTATGTTTGTAATATAATTAAAGCGAAAAGTATAAATTTTATTAAGTATTTAATAATGAATTAAATTTTCCATCGATCAAGTATTGACTTCTCTGACACTCCTAACAAGATTGCCAGCGAAAAAAAACGATGGATGATGTAAAAAATGGTAAGGTGGTTTTTTGTTACAGTCGAAGAAATATTGTTTGTCGAGGCTATATATCGTTTTCGAATGATAGGGCCTGATAATCAATATTCAATATTACAATAACAACAAATATAAAATTATCCAGTAACCACCATTTCTGCAACATGAAATTGGGAATTGCTCACCCGGTATTTATGTGATAATCACCCGGTATTTATGCGATTAGTTCAGAATAAACAATACAATTAATTAACAATATAGCATATAATTTGACAGTCCATATAAAATGCGCAACAATGTTTCAGTAGTAACAAAAAAAAAATTATAACAGTAATAATAACAATAATAATAATAATTATAATAATAAAATAACAGTAAAATAAAATAAATTAAATTAAGCTGTAATGAATTGCTGCTATTAAAAAAACGCCAGAATAGAATAGACAACACAGCAGCACCTGTGCAGGCGTGCTTTCGGGTGGAATTTCCGAATTATGCCTTGTCACGTGATTAACCAGGTGATCGACACGTAACGAATTTTGCGAAATCGCCAAGACCGTTTAAATAAATCTCGCGGAAACTTTGTTGCTCTAATATAATTAAAATGAAAATCTTATATTATAAAATTATAAATGATTTATTAATGATTTACATAATTTCTATAAAATTTTTATTTATAAATAAAAGAATTTAATTAATTAAAAGTATTTTGTCAAAAAAATTATTATCACAAAAACTTATAAAAACATTAAATATAATTAACTATTTATTTATACTTTTATTACGCAAAAAATTAATTTAAATTATATTAGAGCAATATTGATTCCGCGAAGTTTAATTAAAAATTTCTCGCGATTTTGCGAAATTCGCGAAATTCGTTACGTGTCGATCACTATTGTCGATCACGTGAATTATACATAATTCGGAAATTTCACTCGAAAGCACGCCTGCACATGTGCTGCACAGTCGCTGTACGAGTGCGGTAAGGATGCTGCACGAGTGACGCACGGGGAGCATTTTTCTGTACCCCAAAATAGTAGCTGAAACTCTGCTATGAATGATAAATATTCTACGCAATGTGATTTTTTTGAAAAATACAAGCTCTTTCTTGATATATTCAAAGAAAAATTTTCACCGGGTAAAAAAAAATTTTTTTTTTTTTTTTTTTTTTTTTTTTTTTTTACTTGAAACTATGTACAATTTGATTGTTGATTTAATGTGCTACTGTATTTTATATATATATATATATATATATTCTACGCAATGTGATTTTTTTTGAAAAGTACAAGCTCTTCCCTTTCGTCTTTCTTGATATATTCAAAGAAAAATTTTCACCGGGTAAAAAAAAATTTTTTTTTTTTTTTTTTTTACTTGAAACTATGTACAATTCGATTGTTGATTTAATGTGCTACTGTATTTTTTTTTTTTTTTTTTTATATTACTATTATATATTTCTAACAGTTCAAGACTTATACAATACTTCGTACCGTCACCATATCACACACATTGAAGTAGGGTGATGTTGACTGACTGTCTACAATATATTAATATAAAAAAAATATTTTAATTTTCTTTAA